TAAATATCTATCTATTTGACAGACGTCCAATCAGAGAATCGGTGGAATCCCGAAAGAACAAACGGAGGCAGTGGAAGCGAGGGGAACGGAGGGATAAAGCGTGCCGGGGGCAACCAATCAGAAGCCCCAAATCTCCGATATCCCCATCTCCTCCTCCCCTCCCCGCCACAACCAAATCACCGTCAATCCAAGCGCCACACGCGTCTCCCTCCTCCGCCACAAGCACGGCGGTCGACCCAAGCACACCACACGCTCGTCTCTCCGGGTCCCCACTCGCCCAGCCAACACTTTCATTTTACCTCTCTCCTCTAGTATCTATCTATCTCCTCCCTCCTCTAGTTTTTGAACAAATCTGTAGTGTTCGCCCTCCGCAAAGGGATATTTAAGAAAGAAGGGTCGACAAAGGAGACGTTCTGCTTAGATTTCAGTTATTCAAAGAGGAAGAAGAAGTTGCATTTTCGAGGTCTCAATCCGCTTCTATTCTACAATGGCAGCTGCGAACAGTCTCGCCACAGCATTTCTAGGTGCGGCGGCGGCGGCGGCGGCGGCGAAGGCGGAGCCTTTCCGTGCAAACAGGCCATCCAAGTCCACCGCGTCTCCTGCTTTTAGCTTTAGGGTTTGCCAGAGAGGTGTGGCCTTCGTTGGGAGCCGGAGAGGCGCTGTCCGAAGGAGCCCGCGGTGCGAGGTTCAGGTTGATATCAAAGAGAAGGCAGCAGCCAGCATCTCTGCCATCGAGCAGTTCAAGATCTCTGCCGACCGTAAGTTTAAGATCTTTTCTCTTTGCTTTGACCCAGGAAATCTGATTTGCAGTAATAAAAAGAAGAAGAAAAAAAACCAACTTTCTTCGTATTTTATTGATTTATTTACCTGCAGGTACTGTTAAGTAGCGGTCAAACATTTGGTCACTCTCTAAAGGCAAAGTTGTTGCCTTGGGCAACTACTGGTAGAACTAGGACCATGTTACTCTTGTGGATCCAGATGATGTTAATTAGAAAGGCTTGTCCATGAATTCATTTACTGTTATGGGAACTCGCCAGTTAACTAGCTTATTTATTTCGTAAGTTGCGACGATTGTCCATGCTGAAATGTTTATTCATTCATCATCATTTTGGAAGGCTTCTACGAGTTATTTTAGCTATACTTTCTAATTTTTATATTCATCAATGTAAAGCATTAGTATGTCCATATTGTTTCTTGATGTGAAGTTTCCTAACAGGTTCATGCGTGGGTGGCATTTCATTTCATCATTGTGATTAGGAATTCTAGTTTGCTGAGTGAGGGATCTTGGAATTCTAGTTAGCCTGTCTTTTGCAGTACTGATGCCCTTCTGCTTGTTAAGCTTGTCATTCAGTCGAGTCATCATGTGCAACATAAAATTTTATGGTTTCGTGACTCTTCACTCACTGTTTCCTGGAACTCGTATCTGCTTGTACATCAACATAAGTGTAATTTAGCTTCAGTATGCCTTGATGTAGAACAAAAATGCCCCATGCTCTAAGTGAATCCTCAGGCAACTTTCAGGATGAACTTTGTCTTATCCCTTGGATCATCACACCCCCATCTCTTTGTCCATATATTCTGGCGTTCCGCCGAGCTCTGATGTCTCCAGCCTTAGAGGTAGTCTTGAGGTCCTGTCTACACAACATTAATTTGTCTCGTTTCTGTTCTCTGGATCTATTAGGATGTATGGAGGAGCAGCAAATTTATGACAAGTTTTATTAGAGAGCTAGCTGCACATTTTTAGAGATTTGTTTATTTTTTTAATCTCATCGTATGTTCTGGATGCTTCCATGGCTTCCTAATTAGAAACGCTACTTTCTGCTCCAGCACAATTGGAGGAGACATTGGTGTATCTTCTGACTCTCCTGAATTCTCACTCTTTTTCAGGTTACATGAAGGAAAGGAGCAGCATAGCTGTTATTGGCCTAAGTGTCCACACTGCTCCAGTGGAGATGCGAGAAAAGCTTGCTGTTCCAGAGGCACAATGGCCCCGTGCTGTTGGAGATCTGTGCGGTTTGAATCACATAGAAGAAGCTGCAGTTCTCAGTACCTGCAACAGAATGGAAATATATGTGGTTGCCCTTTCCTGGCATCGTGGAATCAGAGAAGTAACGGAGTGGATGTCTAAGGTAGGTAGCTAATGTTTCGGCCTTATAATTAATATGACATAAAAATGGGAACATAAACAGCGCTTTCCGTATGGTGTCACTTACAGGCCAGTGGCATTCCAGTTTCAGAGCTTAGGCAACATCTCTTCATGCTTCGCGACGGTGATGCCACGAGGCATTTGTTTGAGGTATCAGCTGGGCTTGATTCTCTAGTCCTGGGAGAAGGACAGATCCTTGCACAAGTTAAACAGGTGGTAAGAGTTGGTCAAGTTAGTGGAGGGTTGGGGAAAAACATCGACAGGATGTTTAAGGACGCCATAACAACTGGAAAGCGGGTTCGAAGTGAGACCAACATAGCATCTGGTGCAGTCTCCGTAAGCTCCGCGGCTGTTGAATTGGCTCTTATGAAGCTCCCAAAGCCCCACTGTGGATCTGCCCGAATGCTGGTGATTGGGGCCGGCAAGATGGGTAAGCTTGTGATCAAACATTTGGCTGCAAAAGGATGCAAAAAGGTGGTGGTTGTAAATAGGTCGGTGGAAAGAGTAGAAGCCATTCGTGAGGAGCTGAAAGATATTGAAATAATTTACAGACCTTTCTCCCAGATGCACTCATGTGCTGCTGAAGCTGATGTCGTGTTCACAAACACAGCATCTGAGACACCATTGTTCTTGAAAGAACATGTCCAAGTTCTTCCTACTGTGAGCGAGGATGTGGGGGGTGTAAGGCTCTTCGTCGATATATCAGTCCCTCGGAATGTGGGATCCTGTGTTGCAAGTCATGAGCATGCACGGGTTTACAACGTTGATGATCTTAAGGAGGTTGTCGAGGCTAACAAAGAAGACAGGTTGAGGAAGGCAATGGAAGCTCAGACAATAATCACTCAAGAGTTGAAGAGGTTCGAAGCATGGAGGGATTCTTTGGAGACTGTCCCTACCATCAAGAACTTAAGGTCGTATGCTGATAGAATCAGGGCATCGGAGCTTGAGAAATGCTTGCAGAAAGTTGGTGAAGATGCTCTGACGAAGAAAATGAGAAAGGCAATTGACGAGCTCAGCACCGGTATAGTTAACAAGCTTCTCCATGGGCCACTGCAGCATTTGAGATGTGATGGCAACGATAGCAGGACTCTGGATGAGACCCTTGAAAATATGCATGCACTTAATAGGATGTTTAACCTACACACTGATCAGAAAGCAATCTTGGAGCAGAAGATCAAAGCCAAGCTGGGAAAAACTCAGGGTTGAGTCACCTAACTTCTTGTTGGATGGGCAACCCAATACATTTATTCGAGACTCCTCTGTGTTTCTACATATTTTTGACATCTTTTCGTTCATGATCTCAGCACATTCGCCCAGTCGATCAATAAGAGAAGAACCTTCTCATAGACAAGCCAGATCGATGCTTTGGCAGTCCCACTGCTGTAGTTTCTTATATGATGGCAACCTTTGTAGTTACTGATTGTGCATGACACATCAACTAGTTGTACATATATTACATGCTTCAACTGCTAAAATTGATCGAATATTAGGTTGCTTGATTCATTAATTATTTTCCCGCTAACATATTCATATATATTAGGTAGATAAGTCCTAAGTTTTATGTGTCCTAGTTGGGAAGCTAACTTTTATATATATATATATATATATATAACTAGAATGGGTGTTAGTATCCTATTTGATGATAAATGTGAAAGTTTTGCATGGTTTGTAGGAACTTAACGAGGCCAAATTTGGGTAAAAATAGTCCAAAAATCCCGAATTTGATATGTTTTGAAGTTAATTATATAATTAAGAGTATTTTAGTTCATTTTCAAATATAACAAGATTTAGATTTTCTAAACCAACTAAAATTTTCACATTATTAGTCAAGTATGACACTGATACTTGTTCCAATATTTTTTTATTTAGGAGGATTTTAGAATTATTATTTTTATTTTGACATATGTTTAAGTTGATTTTGTAGTATAGTGCATCGTAGTTTATTTTCAAGTGTAACAACAAAGTTATTCTAACCACTTGAAACTTTCCTAGATATTATTGAAATATGATACTAATATCCATTCTAGTGTTTTTTTTTCTATTTTAAGGGTATTTAAGAATTATTATTTCTCAATCATCACATATTTTTAGGTTGATCTCCTAATGAGTATATTTTAGTTCACTTTGGTGTCTAATGATATGAAGTTCCTCCAAACCATTTGCAGCTTTCCAGTCAAATGTCATACTAATTCTCATCCCATTATGTTTTTCATTTTATGAGGATTTTATGATTATTGTTTTTTATTTTGGCATATTTTAAGTTAATTCTGAATGTATTTTTGTTTATTTTGAGTGTAACAAGATATAATTTTTCCAAATGACTTCAAACTTTTCAAATATTAGTGTAATATAATAATAACATCCATTCTATTAATTTTTTTCATTTTAGAGGTATTATATAATTATTATTTCTTGATTTTGGTATGATTTTAATGTTGATTCTACAGTCAGGTGGATTTGAGTTTATTTTTTAGTGTAACGAGACAAAGTTTGTTCAAGCTTACATCATATAACGCAAATATGACATAGATTATGCATCCATTATTTTTTAATTCATGGTTGACTTTATAATTTTTTTTTAAATTACTATGCTTGAGGCCTCTCTAAAGCATTTTGTCAACATTGAATTATGTAGTTATAGAGAAATATGTGAAGAATGATGGTAGAAGAGGAGGAGGGAAAGAAAAATGAATGGCTGAAGGGGCGACAAAGGAAGGTGGAAAATTATGAAAGAAGAAGAATCAATAGAGGGTGGAGGAGGAAAAAAAAGGCGGAGGGTGGCATAAGAGGAAAAGGAAAAAATAAAGAAGGAGCGATAATTAATAAGAAGAATGAGAAGAAAGAATAAATAAAAATAATAAGTGAAGGGGAAACCAAGAAAGAAAGGAGGAGAAAGAAGAAAGAAGGGGTGAGGATGTAGAAGGAAAAAAAGAAAGAATGGGCTGGGGACTTCAGAAAAAACATATAACAGGATATGTTAATTAGACTAAATATAAATTTTAATTTTTTGATTAAAAATACTCAAATAAGGAAGGGATTGTGATTTTTTTTGGACATTGATGAGTATATTTGTAATATATTTTGAATTGTTCTTTAGTTGATATTAAATAAGAGAAAGAATTTATGAGATCGAGAGATCCAATGGTCAAATTAAAAGTGTTTAAAAAGTGTTTAAGGTTAAATAGACATTCAAATAGATTCAATGGTCAAATTAAGCATCGGAACTAATTTAATTTTGGGCCTCGATTGATTTTGATAAAAATTTGATTATTATGGATCGATACAAATTGATACTGATTAAATTTTGATTATTTTGTTCGAAACAAAGGATGTCACGTTTGATTATTGATAATTATTTTGTTTGATTATTTGGTGATTTACGTTTTCACAGAAGAGACGAGGAAAGAGGAGAAGGAGTAAATAAGTGGGGTGAAGTGATCATGAATTGGGAAGAGAATAAAGAAAGAAAAAAGAAAGTGTAAAGGGATGATAACTTTTTATGATAGAGGATAGAGGTGCACGAAGAAAGATGAAAAGTGGAAAGAATATTAAGACGAACTGGCTCGAATGAGACAAAAACTGTTGTAGGTTTTTCTTAGAAAAACCGATTAAATTTAAAAAAATAGATCAGATACAATTCATCAAAATTATATTATAATCCATAATGGGTAAGGGCATATTTGTCCTCTTTCGTAAATTTTAGATAGAGGAATATATTTTTTTAAATCTTGGGTTGTTTGAATATTCAAAGTGGACAAACCAATGCTGCATCAATTCTCAACGCTGTCACAACGATCAAGTCAGCCAGAAGCCACTATAATATTTGACTGCAGACCGTGGCATCCCAATCACTGGGACGGCTAATTAACTTTTGACGATCGAAAGAGGGATGAAGGCTACTGTCCAGTTGTAAATAGTCTCATAATTGAGATAGACTTCGAGTGGATTGTAGAAGCTATTAATAAGGAAGTCTTCTTCTTACTCGTACTCTCTGATATTTTTGTTCTACTCAATCTATTCATAAAGTAGAGGGTGACTCAAATTTTTAAAGAAATCAATTAGTGTTCTCACTGGTTTATTATTTTTATTAGAACGTCTATGAAGGGTCGGGATCCTAATCTTTTATTTTATGCTTGGATGAGTAAACTGTTATCTGTAATCGTGTTTTGAGTTAATACATAGCTTTTATCGTTAAAAAAACCTTTTGTCGCACATATAAGTTAAAATTACTATCCGTCGGTTCCTCGTCTTGCCTCTCCTCCGAACCGCATCCGTCCGTCGGATCTTCATCTCTATCTCATCGGTTCTCAACTGCCTCCTCCCTAATCTCATTTAATCTGTTCCCAACTGCCTCCTGTCTCATCTCATTTAATCTGTTCTCGAGTGCCAGTCAAGAGGTGGAAGAAGAAGGGCTTCAGGAGATGTCTCGGAAGAAGCGCGTGATGTTGCCGGTGGCGGAGGTCGATATCTCCAACATCAAATACACGCCGCAACACATACAAGGTTTTAAATACTTACCTCGATCTCTTCCACCGTCACGGTCGATCTCCCGATGGTGATTATGTGATCTATCGTTTGTTTATCTTCTTATGATTTTATTGTTGGGTGGCTCGCAGCTCCACATTTGACTGGCTTTGGATTTATGCTTTTCACTTGGCTGATGGAAGCCCCGCTTATCGGTTCTCTCATCACGTCTTTCTTGAAGCACAAGAACGGAGTCACCGAGGTTCGTATCTTTCTGTATCCACCAATTTTTTGATGCAACAATTCTCGTACCTTTTTCGTTCATCTCTGTAGTATAAAAAGGGTAAAGAAAAGAGGGAGATATTACTAATTTGGACATTGCTCGTTTTGTTAAGCAGATGTTGAGGAATACTGTGATTCCCGAGCGACCAATGTTTCGGCCTGAGTTCCCACCTCAAGGTGCTCTTGTAAAATTTTCAGATGGAAATTATTGCTAAGTGCCTATCTTTTCCTTTATGATAAAAAAGGACTCATCGTTTTCCTAAGCTTATTCATGCTAAAAAAATGATTGGCACTCTACTCATATCATGCAATTAATAGGTTATTTTTCTAGTTCCTATCCTATGGTTTCATAGTATTCAAGTGAGCTGCTGGAAAGCAACATGCTTAGTATAGTTACTGTACCTTTTCGTGTTCGATAGACTGAAAACTACACGAGTAATGGCTGTAATAGGCAAATTATGCTTGATATCTGCCTCATTAGCCATGTGACTTGGCCCAGATAAATGATTGAGTTCTGAATGTGATAAATTTCAGACCCAGAGACAGGTGTAGTTGTCTTGGATGAAGACAGACATCCTATTGCTCGTCTTGAGGCAGCCATGGAGTGCCTTCCATTATATGATCCCTCTCGCCACTGGAATCCTGACCGCCCTTCTAATTTTTTGTATTGGACAATTCGTGATTATGCACATGCTTATCGATCTGATATCACAACTCCATTAATTGTAAGTTGCTAAGAGATTTTGAAATTTTACTGTTTTATTTAGACGGGTGGACAGTCCATCATGGACTCAACTTGCATGTAATCTAGGTTGCGGAGCGCATCATTTCTGCTGTGGATGAATTTAATGGCAAGAAGCCACCTGTGCCACTTCTGATCTCTTTTAATGCAGATGAAGTGAGGAAGCAAGCTGCAGATTCCACAGAAAGATTTAGAGCAGGTGACACTAATGCATACATCTTCTTAGAGTGTTGAACTCTTGTCTCCCATGAATTCTCTGGTCTTAGAAGAGACTTAATGTGGACCATGCAGGAAATCCCTTATCCATCATAGATGGTGTCTTTATTGCCATTAAAGATGATATAGACTGCTATCCACACCCAACTAAAGGTCAGATTGGCAAGTTTTTACTTATTTGTTAATGAAATCTTTAGAGATGAATTTATTTGTCGATTGCTTCACATTCAGGTGCTACAACATGGTTTCACGAGGTTCGCACTGTCAAGCAAGATGCGGTATGCGTTTCTAGATTACGAAGTTGTGGTGTGATACTTGTAGGAAAGGCGAACATGCATGAGCTGGGGCTTGGAACAACTGGGAACAATCCCAATTATGGGTATTTATTGCTCTAATGCTATTGGTTGTGGCAAAGATGGCTTCATATATCACACTATATTGACTATATTCACAGTACTGTGCCAGTTTGATATCACAATATTAGTATTTAGAAGTTTGGTGTCAGATATTGGTCTCCCATAGCTGGAAATTCAGCTTCTTTTGCAGAAATTTAGCCTGAATATTTTTTGTTCATTTGGAACCAAAATTTAGGAATTTACTGAGCATTCTAGTTGTAATGCTTGTCATCAAGGATGTTACTTTTGGGTTTAAAGGGAATTACATCTAGATTTAATTCTTTGATATGGTTAAGAATCCCATGTTTGAGTAGGCATTGTTAATAAATTTAAATCACATTGTAATTACAAGGGAATTTGTTATGCTTAGTGAAAGACAATTAATGGGGATATAATTTTTGCATAATGTGATTTGTTCCTGGTGTCGTCTTTGTATTTCAAAGTAGTGAGATCATTTTGTTGTTTTGTTATCTCTGAACTGAATTTTTATGCTTTCATATTGAAGAATACTTATTTGTCCATAGAGTAAAAATCATATCCATATATACATTCCAACAAATGGTTTCTGCTGTTCCATGCAGTATAGAGGATACATAATTTACAAACATGTTGGCATGTGCCGGGATTGATGGCATGGTGGTTGCATAATTCTTGTTGCCACCATTGTTACCATGCTAAATTGATAAGTCTCAAATGTTGAATCTTGAGTGAGAATGAATACCAGGCGGAAGCTTTATTTTGTGAATGTGATCATTGATTCTCTTGAGAACTCGACAAGAACCAATCTTCTTCTTTTAAGTTTGTTATAAGCTCTTGTTGGGAAATACCCCTTTTGGAAAAACCCGTACAAGTTTTCCTTAGAGGGTATGATGATGTTTGTTGAAATTTTCTTTGTAAGCTTAATTACTGGTTACTAATTTCTTTACTTTTTTGTGAATATTTCCCATGGTGATTGCAAAATCTTCTCCTTTTTGCTTGATAGGTGATTCAATTAGAGTAGCAAGTAAGGATTGCAATATTGTATTGAACCCCCATATCAATTTGAGGTCGGACCAGTATGTATCAATCTATATTAGTGTCCTTGGTGTCGGTACATTGGTATGGATCGATATTTGGAAATCAGATAAAAAATAGAAAAAAAACACATTATTTTAGAGTTCTTTTACCTGAGGATTTTAATTTCGAATAATATCGCTCGTACTAGTCCGTCAACAGAACGGTATGCGGACTGCCTGTTACCGTGCGGTAGCGTCAATTGGGGCTGTTTTCGCTCCGTTATCATCCTAAATTGATCACTGTATTAGTAGAGAGAGAAGAAAGAGAAGAGAGAGAAGAAAAGAGAAAACCTGAAGATCTGGAGCCGCTCTCTCTCGACGATCCCGATCAGTTGTCGTCCTCCCTCGTTGGATGCTGCAGATGATGTCACCTCCTTGTCTGAGGCAATGAGGCCTCAATGACTTCTCTTATCCGCGCGGGGAGAGAAGAAGCCTTAGCGACGTCTTGGTGATGGTGCGGGGAGAAACGATTTTTTCTCCCTATGCAGATAGAAGGAACGAGGCTTTTTTTTTTTTTTTTTTACTTTTTTGCACGGGGAGAAGGAACCCTCGGCTTCTTCTCCCCTCGCGGGTAGAAATCGAGCGATGTTGCCTTTTTTTTTTTTTTCCGCATGGGGAGAAGGAAATGGCTTCTTCTCTCCACGCAGGCAGAAACCGAGTGACGTCGCCCTTTCTCTTTTTTTTTTTTCCTGTGGGAAAACCAAGCGACATTGCCTTTCTCTCTCTCTCTCTCTTTTTTTTTTTGCACGGGGAAACCGGGCAATGTTGCCTTTCTTTTTTTTTTTTCGCACAGGGAGAAGGAAACGATTTCTTCTCCCCACGTTAGCAGAAATCGAGCGTCGTCGAAACTCTGGTACGGTACGAAATTATGAACTTTGCTTTTACCTACTTTCTTGGATTTTAAGATCAAATTCTAAAGTAAATCTAATCTATAAAATAATAGAATACAAAATCGAATTGCTTAGGCTAAGGCTTGAAGGTAGGAATTCTTATCTTTAAGGATCCATCTAAGAACTCTATTGCACATTATCCTCTTGGTTCTCCATCAAATAAAGATTGCTTCCTTCGGTTGAAGTGCTTTTCACCTAAAAAAAGAATAGAGGGGTTTTCTTAGGTGTGGAAACTCTAAGATGTGAGCCTTATTGTTATTAAATCTTAGAAAAATTATTTATAAATTGGTATAGGTAATATGTATCTTATGATTAATTTTTTATAAATCATAGGATCTCATGATCTTACGATCCTATCCTATGATCCGAGTGTGTGAAACCCTTTATAATCCTAGGTAGGAAAGTGAATTTGACAACCTTGGTTTAGTATCAAGATATGCTGGAAACTTTAACTTGTAAGCATTACCATTGATTCTCTCGAGAACTTATTAAGGATCACTCTTCTTTTCTATAAGTTTGTTATAGGCTCTTGATTGGAAAACACTCCTTTTTAAGAATAACCCATACAAAATCTCCTTCTTTAAAGATCTTTATATGATGATGCTTGTTGGCATTTTCTTTGTAAAGTTGCTTATTGGCTTCTAATTTCTTCTTCATGAATCTTCACCATGGTGATCACAAAATCTTCTCCTTTTTTTGCTTGATAATGATGATTCAAGTAGAGTAACAAGGATTAGATAATGAGATGGAACATGACCATAAATGATCTCAAATTGACTCTTGGTAGTAGAACAATTAACCACCAAAATATTGGCAAAGTCAGTTCTAAGCAGCATGACCCATTGTTTTTTGTCATCCTTAATGTTTATGAACTCTTTTAAGTTTTTGCTAAATTTTATAGTGGGTAGGAACTCAAATTCTTAACACATCTTATAACTAAGCTGATTAGTGACTGTAGTATACTTTTCTGTCTTGAATCCCAAATATTCCTTATTTTATGCACCATAAGTTGGTGACAGTCATTGTGGTTGTGGTTGTGGGTTTGTCCCTCAGAAATTTTATACGTATGTCATCCATTTTTTCCCTTTCTGCTGTCTCTCTCTTAGTCTTATGTTAATATACTAATTTATATTCTATTTTGTATAGAACGGCAAGAAATCCATATTCATTCGAAAGATACACAGGTGGTTCTTCCTCTGGTCCTGCAGCACTTGTTGCATCTGGAATATGTTCTGCAGCTGTAGGGACAGATGGTGGAGGTTGTGTGAATGTATTCTTTGAGTTGCTAGATAGTAGATACTAATGTTTCATAATGCTTGCACATATTCAGATTCATTTACTTTCTGAAGGCAGGTTCAGTTAGAATTCCGTCTTCACTTTGTGGCATTGTGGGACTGAAAACAACATTTGCACGAACAGACATGACAGGGTATTACTTTTTTGGACCCCTCCATCTAGTTATTTAATATCATAACTTCATCATTAAAGATTTTGTGGATGGAACTGGAAACTAGATATTATTCCTGCTGAAGTTCTTAGTTAAAAATCATTGTACTTTCCTTCTGCTACGAATCCAAGTGCCAATGTCAAATTCTTAGATTACTAAACATTTTATGTTTTCTACTAACAGAAGATCAAATTTAACTAAGATGTTTTTATATATTGTTGCCTCCAAGTTATTCTATTTATCACATATCAGTCCAACAACCCTTGTGAAAGATTGTGTACTAGAATCTGTGACTTTTGTATAGGTCATTATGCGATTGTGGAACTGTTGAAGTTGTTTCTCCTCTTGCTGCCACAGTTGAGGATGCTATGCTGGTGTAAGAAGTTCCCCACACTGAATATGATATATACTTGAAATTATCTGCACAGTTTCATTCCTTTTTCTTCAGAACTATGTTGTTTCTTGTGTTTTGCAGCTATTGTGTCAATGTAGTCCGGTAACCCAAAAACTGCATCAAAATTTTGGTTATCTTTAATTTTTGGATATGGACCCAATATTACTGGATAATGTGCATGAATCTGATTTCGGATCCAAATTTTATAGTTATCAGATATGCATCCATACTTGAACCTTAGGGTTTCTTTATTTATGTCATTCAGATCGAATTTGTGATCCTAGGTGGATCTGGCCCGACAAGGCGACAACACCACAATTTTTTGGCAACTAGACTGGAAAATGCAAAGACAGACTAAATTGATCTTATAGTTGAAAATAAATTGTGTGCTTTAGTTTACTTCCTGCCTTTTAGAAAACATAACACATGAAGTGTTGGAGTTCTGGACTGGATTGCAAGGATATGAGACTAAAGTAAGTTGGTTTGAGAACTTTTTGTCGGCAAGGCAACGGATGCCTTCCTTTTTTGTCCCTGAAAATTTAGTTAAGGAGATCTTACAAAATGACCTGCCACAGTACCAGCAGTGCTAATTTTGGAGGAATTACAACTTGTTTTAGATGTAGTAGCAAAACTATGCACCACGTGGTTAAACTCTCCCTGTATGCAAGTGAAATCTACGACATTTGACTACACTAAATGTCTGATATCTGGAACAAAACCAAGGAATCGGACCAGTTCCTTTCTCAAAATTTATGACAGATTCTGCATCCATCTCCACAATAACATTTCTTAAGTTATTCTGTTTGATTCTCCTCAGCCTTTCCAACAGTGAAATGCACTCTGTCATGGAAGGTCTAGCTGCTCTACAAGGTCCTCCTATCACCCAAAGGTCACCATCAGCCTTCCTGATTGCATATCCAAAACCTGCAAGAACATCAAAACCCTTATAAGAGCCATCAGATTCCTGTATAAAATTGCATCTGGGAGCCAACACTCCCTTGAATACTCTCTTGATTCTTGAAAGCTGTTTTGCCTCCCTGAAGTCCCCTCAGATTCAATATATCTAGTGAAGCAAGCTTCTGAAATAGACATCACCTTGCATAGCAAGAAGGGGCTGGTGCCGTGGTTGCTAAATTTGACCTCATTTATGTTTGCCATATGGACCACAAGGAATTGGCAATAAGACGGTTTCCAATTAGTAGAAAATCATGTCCAAGGAGTGTTTGGTAATATAAAATGAAAAACAAATCGATGAAATTACCATGAAAATTGAGATTAATTTCTTATAACATTTATTTCCTTAAAAATTATGGGCTCTTGTCCTTCCTTTTCTTCTCATAATAACAGTTTCTCTCTATTTCACTGATGATCAATGATCAACATCATAATAGTGGTGGCCAAAGAAAACTAAGTCGGTTAGTAGCAGCATCTCCTATCTTTCAGACTTTCACAGTTATAACTGTAGATTTTTCACCTTTCATTCACCTCAACTTCACTCTTTTTCTCCTTTTCTATTGTTCTTTTTTTCATTTTCTCCTTCCGAGGTCATCAAATCACTTAAAACTAACCAAATCGATTTATTTTAGTTGAGTCTGATTGATTCCAACCAATGGCTATACAGCCAAGAAATTATCCACAATCAGAGTGATCATTGATGATGGACATAAAAGGTGCTTATCATGTTGGAGTTAGTCGATACCATAATATGTGTTACAAAAGACATTGTTTGCATGTGAGAAAAGGGAGAAGTCAAGGGAACCGAGTTGTATTTGCATGAGTTGTCTTTTACAATACTGGGAACCATGAGACAGCTACATATTGTCATCAATAACATGGGATCTCTATAGTGGGTACAATTGAATTCACACTGACACTTCCCCAAAAAATCATTCACATCCACTCTAATAAAGACTATTTCTTCAGGAACTCCATCAATTTAACATATACTATAAAATTTCTAGAACTTCATACTCTTGTTTTGGAACCTCTTGGATAGTTCTTTTCCATAGTGGCTTAATCTAGTCTTAAGCCTAATCGACATCTATTTCCCTGAGTAGAATTTGATGTTTTTTATCAACTACTTGTTCTATGCTGATATCATGGATCTCCAAATTTGAAGTTGATAAGTGGTGTTATTCTAAATCCTAAATTTGAAATGGATGATGAGGTAATCAAAATTTTAGTTGTCTTCATATATATATGGGCAGAAACAAAGTGTTATTTCTTGATATTCAAAGTTGAATGGCGTAAATCGTGCCCATGATGCTGCAAGCCTTACAAAACTAATTCCTGTCACTCACGTCCATAATTCACTTAGTTGGCGTTTACGAAATGTAACTGTAAGTCTATAAGTAACTCTACGGGCTTAGTTACAAAGTGTGGAATACTTATATAACAAATGTAGTTTGAGTTTGACAAGCCAAAAAGTTTTCAAGGATTGTACATTGGAATCTTCACCTGGTGGTTAGCAGATAATGATCTGTTGTTGGATCTTTGTGGCCTAGATTAGAGGTCAGAAATTGTACAACATGATGGCTAATGCATAGTGCTGTATACCTAGTAGGCAGCATTTGGTTTGGAGTAAAGCATTAAAAGGTAGGTTCTATTTGGTTTTCCATATAGCACCACAGGGCAAGATTGGTTCGTTTCTTGTTTCTAGTCTTTATTTCAGCAACGAGTCATAGTTTCAATCTTATTAATTGTTTTTGGTACAAGTTCCTATTTTTATTTTGTAAGAAAAAGGAGTCTCTGAATACCTATGATGCTAGAAACTTGGGGATTTCTACTAAACATAATGCCTTATCTATAGTTTAAGAATTGCCATATGATTGTTCCAACATTATCTCAATACCAGATTATGTGATTTTGAAAATGCTATGGTTTTGACTTTTGAGTGGCTTACCCTTTTCTGCAAGAACTGTTAGTGTCCAAGATCCCATAGAAATTAGGTGGGTAATAGTAGTCTTTCAATCTAAGGTATGTCCTTATCTATATCAGTTAATGGCTTTTTCTGTGCCATAGTAGATTACTTCAGGGAATGCAGGTGGCAAATCAAATATCTATATGGTCATGAGTTCATGATACCCTATTCTGCTAGTTACAAGTGAAAGCTAAATAATTCTGGGCAGCAAAAGAGAAAGAAAAAAGAATTATAAAGAAAACAAGGTCGCTTTAGTTTAATACTCAAAATCTGGTACAATCACTTCATGATCCTTGCTAAAAGAAGATTTATAGGATTTTAGTTACTAAATAATGGCCCTTCTAAATTTTGGTAGTTTGAAGCATGTTTCAGAAACTCCACCATGTGAAGTCCAATAAAATGATACAAAGAGAAGGGTAGTTCCATTATTTTCAAAAATCAAAATCATTCCTTGATCGACCAATTTTTAGGTTTCACTGAATGCTAGGACTTTGTTCTTCTGTAAAAATTGTACTCTAATGATAATTCTTAAAGTTCATATAAAATTAGTGTAGTCAAAACTCAAAAGCACTAGGCACTAAGGTGCCAATACTAGAGGCCGAGTAAAGCGAGGTGCTTGCAAGCAAGGTCTGCCATACCGAATCGTACCGCCCGCTACCGGGCGGTACGCTAAAAAAAACCTCGTATTGGACGATACTGGGTAATATCGGGCTGTAACGATCGAAATTTCGATCGTTACTGCCCGGCACAACTCTGTAATGGTCGATTTCGACCGTTACCGCCCGGTACCACTCGGTAACGGTCGAGGTCCGTTACCGGGCGGTACGCTAAAAAAAACCCCATATCGGACGATACGAGGTAATATCGGGCGGTGACGGTCGAAATTTCGATCGTTACCGCCCGACACAACTCTGTAATGGTCGATTTCGACCATTACCGCCCGGTACCACTCGGTAACGGTTGAAATCGACCGTTACCGCATTGTAGCAATTTGAGAAGATTGTGAATTCATTGTAGCATTTCTCCTTTTATTTAAGCCATTCTTCTCTCCCTTATTTCATTATACTCTCTTAAACTCTCTTTTAAACTTTTTTTTCTCTCCTAAACTCTATAAAACAACGATTTGTGAATTCAATCGAGGCTAATTTGAGAAGATTAAGAGGAAGAACTTTCTAATCAAGAGGTATGTATTCGTTTTCTTTAATTAGAGAGTAATTAAGATCTTTAAGATGATGATTAGTGTGTTTCATGCATATTAAATATTGAATAATATTTATGATATTAAAATAAGTTTAATTAAGTTTTATTGAAGTTATTTAATGCTGCGATTAGTCATTTTAATGATGATTTAATAGAAATTTATTCGATTTTATATCAATTCAATGTCTTTAATACCTATTAGGGTATTTGTCATGTTTATAGTGGTGAAAGAGAAGTAATTAGTGAAAAATTAGCTATGTTAATCGTATAATTAATGTAAATAAATGATGATTTTATCATAATTTGACTCATATTGGATTAAAATTACATATTTAATATTTTTTTATGTGTTTAACATATATATGATGATAAAATAAGTTTAATTATGTTTTATTAAAGTTATTTAATACTGTGATTAGTTATTTTCATGATGATGTAATCGAAATTTGTTCGATTTTATGTCAATCCAATATCTTTAATACCTATTAGGGTGTTCACCATGTTTATAGTGTTGAAAGAGAAGTAATTAGTGAAAAATTAACTATGTTAATCGTGTAATTAGTGTATTTAATGCTTTTAATACTTCTTTTATGCATGTAACATATTTATGATGATAAAATATAATTAGTTATGTTTTAATAAAATTATTTAATATTATGATTAGTGATTTATGATCGATATTTACTCAATTTAATATATTTATACTTTATAGTTTATTTGATTTAAATTTGGTAGGATCGTGGCACCAAAGGAACAACCATATGATGATACATGGGTTGATGCCCGAAAGCTAGATGGAAATCGTCATCATTGACAATGTATTTATTGTGACTACATTGGCAGGGGTGGAGGAATAACTCGG